TATATTCTTTCATATCATACCCTAAATTCAAAATATTTAAATTTACAAATTCTTAGCTTGGATGACGTTTATTTATTATAAATTATAATATTTCAGAGAACGTGAAGTTACTCCACGTCTACTCGCCAGTTTATGTTGTATTCTATTGTTGCTACTACTATTCTTTATCCTGCTAGGAATCATTCTTAACGCCTTATTCAATACATATTCGGTGAGATTTAGACTTTGTGCAATTTTCGACACATAAGAGATTCTGTCGAAATTATAGGTAACCGAATTTTTGTTATACCCCCCAGTATGTGAAGAATGTCGACGAAAAAATGGCAATACCATCACAGCGGCATTACCATCGTCTGTCTTCGTCCACTTTTATTCTCCTCAACAAGCACATTTTGAATTGCGCGGAAATTTGCCATTTAAGAGCAATTCATTCACTGCCATCGACTTCCAAACGGTGAGCTTTAGAATTTCAGAGATTTTCTAGAAAAATAGGTTATAAATTGTAGCCTTTTTAGGGTTACATAGCTATCGCCGATCATGCTTTGACGGACTCGAATGGCCGACACACTGTTTGCTTTATAATGCCACTAGATCGCTCAGCAATTCCAAGTATGGATGCTCTGAAAGAAGCTGTTAGTGACAGCGATTATGAGGTGAAGTTTAGTTTTAAAAAATCCTAAGCTGTCCATATTTAGACTGTTTAAGAAACTTTATATTGAATCCAGGTTGGCCATTTAAGAGAGCAATTCAGAGAGAAGAAGACATAAATTTTAAAAATAGATTCTAAAATTTCCTGCCCTTTTAGATACAAGCCCACTTTGGATGGCAAGAATTCTGGCAGTTTGATGCTGAACCCATTGAACCTGTCGCCGCAAACTCTAAATTCACAGATAGAATTGAAGACTGCACTAACGCTAAATGGTATTTTCTTAAACAAGCAGTTCATAGCAGAGGTGAGCAGTGATTTTTTTTCACACAAATACTTTAGAAATGGAATATCAAACGTTTCAGATGTTTCCTGCTCTGATTGCTATGACTTCTGCTTACCTGATTGGGCAGTTGTTCGCAAAGAGAAATATGAAGACCAGAGCACTATTGGAGTGCGACGGTTAGATTGCTTCCGATTATATGTTCCAGAGTGGAGGAACTTTAGGTGGGTAATAGCAATTGTGTTTACTGCTCTGCAAAGAAACAGCAAAGGAATTGCGGTAAAATCACTCCAAAGAACAAAAAATATAAAATTTTTAAATGTCATTTAATAAGTGGGTACAAAGTTGATTT